GCTCAGGCTGGTCTTGAACCCTGAGCTGAAGCAATCCTCCTGCCGCGGCCTCCAGAGTGCTAGGATTACAGGTGTGAGCCACCCCGCCCAGCCTCTCATTTTTAAAATTAGGAATCGGTAATAATAGTTACACATTTCAGTCAGAATGAAATAAGATAATAGAGATAAAACATATTGCAACATGTAAAGCACCTCTCAAGTATTGGTTACTTATACTGTTTTCTATGAGTATAGTATACAAACTGTAACCTGTAGTGATGTTCAAAATAATATTTATTCTTTTCAAGGCAGGCTGAAGGAAAAATTTAATCAAAATATTTCAAATCATAAGAATGAAATAAGCTACAGACAGCAAATTTCAAGGGACAGCAGAATTAAAATTTTCTTTTGGAAATAAGGTTATGAGGGGGAAAAGTTAACATAAAGTTTTATTTAGTTATTTTTATGAAAATACTAATCTATATAAGGACACAGAGCACAAAAACAGTTACAAAATCATAAGTAAAATTGCCTACGTTTGATCCAATGTTATATGTAAGTCGTCACTCAAATTTAATTTCTTTTAGACAATAACCTTTCCCTGACACACAGGCACATGAGGCACTTAATAACACATAGTTTTATTAAGTTATCTGTGTCATCAGGTAAGATTCAATAACACTATCCACTGAAAAAGTGTCACATTGCTTCTCTGTTGCTGGAATATAAATACGAACTCTTTCTAGCTTATGATATGGGCTGGAACTTTGCCAATCAATGACTATTGAGTGAATCTAGATTTTTTTCCCCCCAGTGTCTAGCAATAAGAAGAGTTTTTTTCTTGGGCACTGGTGACAGGAGTTATATCACTAGTATTTATTCTGCCAAAAGTTGGCATTGACCGGAAGCCTCGGGAGTCTTCCATGGCAGTAAATGGAAAGAAGGGATGGGGGAGTCAGGGACAGCTTTTAAAATGGACTTTTATTCTGCTTAAAGTCAAGCAGAATGGTATCACTCTGCTTGTACACATCTCTCTATGGCACAATTCCAAGGAAAGAAGTTCTATATTGATCCCTAACATTAGTATGTCTGCATTAAAATAAGTCCTTTCAGTGTATCTCATAACAAATTGAACTTTTTAAAAATCTCTTCTATCATTGTTATTGGTTCTTAAGAGTATATTCACTTTAAATATGATTGCTCTGAGATAGGGTCATTTTGAGGGAGCGGGAGCTTTATATTCTTCCTGCTTACTTCCTCTTTGAGTTGTCTAGTGGTTTTCTTAATGACAACAAAATGCATTTATAAAATAAATTTTCCAGTCTATTGACTGCAGGAACTCTTAACCACCCCATTTGCTGTTTTCCTCTATTTATCTTTTCCCTTCTTTTGTGATACTTTCCTTTTTCTGTGATACTGTACCCTCCACTGCTTCCTTGACCTATCCTGATACTCATCTATCTTGATTCAGGGCTTAGTTACTCCCAGTCAGGCACAATACTAAAAACTGGGGAAATGATCTTAACGAAACACCTCTTACTGCACAATCCAGTCTCGGTGACTTTGGAAAGGCTCCTTGAGGAAGATGGTGTCTAAACTGAGCCTCAAAGGACAAACAGGAGTTAGCCAGGTCAAAATGGGAGCAGAACACATGGCAGCACGTGCAAAGGCCCCAAGGCAGAAAGGACAGGGTGCACCCTGGGGAATTACTAGAAGCTTTGTATGGTTTAAAGAGGAAGGATGAGGAAGCATTATAAATGAGCTGGAACGATAAACTCATGAAGGGCTCTGAGCATGAAGAAAAGTTCAGCTTTTGTGTAGTGAGCAGATGGAAACCATTTAAAGATTTTAGTCAGTAAACTAACATATTCTAATTTTACACCCAAAAAGGTACCTCTGGAAAAAGGTGGAGAATGCTTTGAATGCGATAATTTTAGAAAAAAATAAAGGACGTTTCTTTCCAATATGTGGCCCTGATGCTATTGTTCAATACATACTGGCGTGATACGATTATCTTTAAAAATTGAAATCAGGATCATTTAAATGGAGCACAATGATACATACATTAAATCTGTGCTAAAATACAGATCTATTCAAAATTGGTAAGTCCGGAGGCATAGCAAGCAACGGTAGTGTACCATTGCCCCTCATGTATGATTCGTGCAATTGAGACAATAGGCTGGAGGAACTTCTAGCCACATGTGTGAATATGTATTTTGCCATAGCAAAAAATGATTGCTGAGCAAATCTTTTCTTCTCCCAGAGTTATGTGCTAATTAAAATATCTAACTGAAGAAAGGTGCATTTGTTTAGAAAGCATTCTTTAGTACCAACATAATTCTGATTAAGAGGAAGGAGACAATTGAAAAACAGAGCCTCTATTTTAAAATTAATTTTTACTATAGTTCAGAGACTTCCTGAACAAGTTAATTTGAGTATGAGATTATTTAACTAATAACAGGTAACTGCTGTGAATCTCCCTTTTTACATGATCAAACTAAAGAAGACAAAGAAGAACTAGCAATGCTTTGTTTGAAACAAAAACTATAGCTCATTATCAATGAAAAGATTATAGTACCTGTCAAAAAATTAAAAGTCACTCAAAATGGTCCCCTCGAAAGTACAAATGAGAGCTGGCATTATTTAAATTGAAGGAATCGGAGAAAATATTTGAAGTTAGCTTTTAACTATTGCCTTACAACTCCCTGACTTAGTCTTTTTTCTGCTGTTATAATAGAATACCTGAGATGGGGTAGTTTATAAAGAACAGAGATTTGTTTCTTACAGTTTTGTAGGCTGGGAAGTTCAGGATCAAGGGGTCCATATCTGGCAAGGGCTTTCTTGCTGTGTCATCCTATGGCAGAAGACAGAGGACAAGAGAACACGAGAGAGAGGGGGGTAAGGGGACCAAACGCATCCTCTTATCAGGAACTCACTCCCACAATGACAGTATTAGTCCATTCATCAGCATAGAGCCCTCATGACCTAATCATTTCTTAAAGGTCCCACCTCTCAACCCTGTCACATTGGGGAGTAAGTGCCTAACACATGAACTTCGAGGGACACATGCAAACAATAGCATCCCTCAAGTAGCATGAAGTCAAAAAGGATTTTTCTGTCAGCTGGAAAAACTTGCATAAAATGTTCTTACATCCCAGCAATGACATCCATTGACACATATTTTTTAAAGTTAATACTTCATGGTGTTCAATATTTACTTTTCATGTAGTTATTCAATTTTCTTAATTTTATGTAATATTTTTGAAACATTTCATTGATTTCATATGCAAATAATATATATTTATGCTTTATAATTTTAAGCATTGAATCTCACTTAATATTTTGAAATATGTTGTTAAATTTGGTGCCGGAATTATGTTAAATATTTAGTGTCGATAATTTTATTTTATGAATCTTGAGCATTTATTTTGGAAAAATAAATATTGGAATAACCGTTTCACCCTTTTGCTCTGGTATTGTTTTCCTTAGCAAAGGGTTCCAAGGCTGTTGTATTCATCCATTGATGATGGTGAGCTCAACATAAATAGTAGTCACTGCGGAGAGAAAGAAAAAATTACATGGATTTCAAATAGAGGAATGAGATAGAATCAACAAGACGTGGCGATTTGGGGGGATATAGTGTATGTGAAAGAAAAAGGGGAAAAAAAGATACTCTGCCTTTGTGTATGAACTTTGAGTAGATGTAGTCATGAACATTACTGTTCACATACAAAGGGATCGTGAGAGAAAGAGGAGGAAAGCTGAGAAGAGAGAGAGGGAAAACCAAAGAAAGAGCAAGAAGACAATTAGCAAATAGCATCACTTCAGGAAATGCTGCAGTTTCAATGATTAAATGTTCAAAAATTAATATCCCCTCCCCCTACTATCTCTAGCCTGTTTCTTGGAAGCTTTATATACACCAAATAATACTGTGATGAATTTGGGACTTCTACCAGGGTAGCAGAGAGTTGATGATATGTTAAAGGAGATAGACAATAAATGACAAACAGCTCAAGGCTCATCACAGGACTCTGTACAGCTCCTTAAACCTGAGTTATCTTGACTCAGGCTAGAGTCAGTGCCCCTAAAGTTTGTTACCAGTTAGTGAAGTGAAGACTAATTTCTAATCTAACAGCTATGTATGTGGAGGACTGGTATACTCTTGCATCTCCATGATGAGAAAGATGATTCTCTGCAGTGATTATTTCCATAACATCTTTAGAATATTCCTTGCATATGATATAGGTTCAATTACCTGTTAATATCTAGTCAAGGAACCTAACTACTTTTATTTGGAACTTGGAATACATTTTCCCATTTTAAAAATCTTGTTAAAAATAATTTAGGGATATAATTACTTGCAAAATACTTACACTTTACATTAGTAAATGTCCAGTTTGAAAATTTTATTAAGGTTGGTCAGTTCTAAGAACATCAGGGTAGATCACAAAGCTACTCTGATTTGCATTACGGAAACTATACTCAGAATTGCTCTTTGTTTTTCAGCTTGTGAGCACTTTCTATTCCTTCTTTCATCTTTTTTTTTTTTTTTTTTTTTTACCTATCCCCTATTTGCTGCATATTTAGAAATCCGTGTTTATTTAATGTGAAAAGAGTATTTTATATAGCTCTTTTCCTTTCTATACCAAGTCTGATAATTCTAAGGAGAGGGCTTAAAGTTTTAATCCTCTAATTTTCAGAAAGGCTGAGAGCATTAAGAAGCTTACCGAAGAGTTGACGTGTGCTGTAATTTTGTTTTCTGGGATTTGAGTTGAGAAGAACCGTAAAAAAAAAAACCCATGTTTGGCAGTGGTCAAATGGCTTTTGGTACTCAAGTGGCACTCCGATACCTGGGTATTAGCTTATTTTTGCCACGTTTAAAATGAAAATGAGGTCAAGGACTTCCAGCGCTCTAAGGCTCCTTTGAACTGTCAAATAAAAATGGTTTCTAAATGTCAGGACATCTGGAAGTCCTACTGTGAACGGGCAATGTAGGTGTTTTCTTTTGAATTTTATTTCAGAAATCTCTACCACAGGCCCTCTTGGCATGGGAAGCACTGCCACCAGTACCACCCTGCGGACCACAGCTTGGAGCCCGGGAAGGAGTACAACCCCATCAGTGTCGGGAAGAAGGAACCGGAGTACCAGCACCCCATCTCCAGCTGTCGAGGTGCTTGACGACATGACCACGCACCTCCCATCAGCATCGTCCCAGATCCCAGCGCTCGAAGAGAGCTGTGAGGCTGTAGAAGCCCGAGAAATCATGTGGTTTAAGACCCGTCAAGGACAGATAGCAAAGCAGCCATGCCCTGCAGGAACTATTGGTAAGTCTGTCCTAAAGGACTAAGCTGAAAGTATTTTGTTCCTTTGGCTTGATTTTCTAGTGGTCTTTTCTTTTCTTTCTTTCTTTCTTTTTTTTTTTTGTGGGGGGAGGTAGGCAGTACTGCATATTTAATATTTTTCTACTTCACATCGGATCAGATTCTGAACTTGGCTGAATTACAATGTAAAGCCATGCATTTTCCGGAGTTTGAAAATGCAACCTGAAGACCTCCCAGGTGAGAATTTGGTGGACACACATGTGAGATCAGTAGTTTTCACCCATAGTGTAAGGTCTCCGGGTCAAGTTATAGTTAGGCCGTAGATGCTCTGGCTATTCCAGAGAGTTAGCGTTTCTGTGCAGCAGCCAGAGTAATCATTGATTACTGGGAATTAGTTTCATGCTTGTCACCAACTCTCAGATACTGATTACAGAAAATGAGGTCGAGGACTTCTATATTGGAAGATGATCATAGAAACGATCTAAAATTTAACAAAAAAGAAAGTTTGACTATTTGTTTTTTTTCACCAGTCATAGTAGTTGTCCTTTAGAGGTCAAAGGCTCTTAACATTGTCAGAAACCCACTGCAGGAGTCGATCTTACTCACACATCCGCTGTAGAGAGCGATCGTGCATTGTTTTCTCTGAGAGATAGTTAAGAACTAAATATTACTTTTATTTTTTATTTTATTACTGATATGATTCACAACATCCTCAAATGGTAAGCGTATTATTATTTACCATTTGTAGTATGGAAATATTCTGATTTTTCTTATTGTTACAGACGTCGACGTTCATAAACTAGTACTCGACACACACTGAAATTTGTATTACTCCATACAATGTGTAAATAAAAGAAATACACAATAGATGTCACTATACTAACATTCTCAGGGACTTTGTCTTTGGATATTATTGATTTGGTTACTTTAAGGAAGAAGGTTTTTCTCAGAAAAGTTCCAGTATGGATATATCATTCCAAATTCCATGGTATATGAAGCAGTGGGAAGACCAGAAGAAATCTTGATTTTTATAAAGGTGCACGTTTTTTTTCCAGCAAATATTTTGCTGAAATATTCAGAAATCTTCCTTTATAAAAAGGAAGGAGAATATTTATTTCTAAAGTTTTCTGTGATATTGGAATCAGAGAAGAATTAGAGTCCTCCTTCTTTCTTAGCCCTGTCTCTTTAATTCTGGGCCTCAGTTTCTTCATCTGTAAAAGAGAAAGAACAACAGCCGCCCTACTTCAGACGTTTGCTGTGAAGATTAGTGAGACAGTATATTGGAAAGCACTCTGCACTAGAAAATATGTCATTATTATCCTGTGAAAACTGGGAAAGAGATTTAAAGGAAACCTTCCTCCTCTGCAAGGAGGCCCTTGCAGAGTACCGACCCGTCTTATTTTTACCCTTCCCTGTCTGTTCTTTTGTACGTTTGGCCAGGCCCTCATGGGCTATCACTTGAGTTTTTGCGGTAGCTTTCTTACTACGTCGACGTCACTCCCTCAGACCCACCCTCCACACTGCTGCCGGAGTTAGCTTTCCAAAACCCAAATCTACTTCTCTCTCTCTGCTTATTCTCCATTGACTTCCCGGCACCCACAGATGATAGACAGGGAGTTTATGGTTTGGCTTTATCTACCTTTCCAGTTCCATTAAATGCAATCTCCCATCCAGTAGACCCCAGTTCAAAAAACTTGAAGTTTCCCCAAGACAGCACGTTTTTCCTCCACCTGCAATGTCCTTTCCCACCTCGTTTTCCTGAGAAACCCCCACACTGACCCCTTTGAGACTCAGCTGCTACCTCGCCTCGAAACTCAAGTACTAAGCTCCATGGAGGCAGGTACCCCATGGATGTAATTCATGCAATTATTCTCAATGCCTAGTGTAGCAGCCAGCAAGTGCTTTAAAAATAGTGTATGTTTTTGTTTGTTGTACTGTTACTTCTGCAGTGCCAACTCCTCGCCAGGTACTGTATCTGGTGTTTTAATAGACATTATATCAATTTAATGATCTCATTTTTACTTCTGCTCATATTCAAACATAACATGGATATGAAATCATTCTAAGGAAAAGAAACAGACGTATTTCTCTCATGATTATAGGTGTTTCAACTTATCTGTGCCTTGGTCCTGACGGAATTTGGGACCCCCAAGGACCAGATCTCAGCAACTGTTCTTCTCCTTGGGTCAATCACATAACACAGAAGGTAAGAAGTTTGCCAACACTGTATTCTCTGTCGTTGATAGTAACTGCTGCAAACAAAACAGTCAAGACTTCTTAAAAAAATTAATGCAGAAAACTTCTCCCATTTAAATTTAATTTCACATTTAACGACAACCTCTAATACGCCACGAGCTAATTCTAGAATTTTGTTGTTTTCGAAGTGCAAATCCATGAACTTCCTCTACGCCAGGCAGTATTGCTTATAATAATTTTAGTATTAATAAAATTTCTGTGGCATTGTGAGCTACAGATATGAAAGTCCAAGAGGCATTATAAATCAAGCAAGCAAAATCTTCCCCAATGCATGCAGATGGGATCTCCTATGGAAATAGTAATTACCATAGAAAAAGTCTACTTTTGGAATCTTAAGCCATTTGTTAAATGCTCTGTAACCTGATCATTTATCAGTGCTGAAAGTATACACATGTATGACAGAATCTTGCAGACTGAAATTTGCAGGGCTTATTTGGTTGCAATATGTTGAGCATTTTTATTATTAATGCACCGTGGGGCTTTGGATTGATTTCATTACAAACAGAGACCAGATGTGCATTTATACCAAAAAGGGCTACGGGATGAATCCTTATTATAGCAATTTGTGTGGATTTATGCACTCCTAAAATGGAGAGTCCTTCTATGGCACATTAGCTATGCCGAGGAATTTCTGAGCGAGATTTTTCCCAAGAAATATTACAAATGATGGCCTTACTAAAAGCCTGCCTGTGCCATTTGCTCTTTTCTCTATTTGTTTTTAACCAGACTTATCCTCAATAATATACTGTATAATAATCTATAAATATCTACCCAGTAGATCATTTAGCAGATGAGCTGTAACTATCTGTTTACCCTAAATCATGGAAGAATAGTGGTTCTATTGACTCTAGCTACCCTCTTACATATGCATCTCCATACTTGTTGCTATTCATAATGATACTTCTTCAATTTCAGCACTGTTTCTGCCACAGTTTTTATGTCCTTTAATTTTATTACAGTGTAGCTCAGACCCTAGGGCAAATAATTCTTGCTGAATGTGATCAGATTAAGAGATCAGTAGCCGTATCTCCTTACATTAGCGACTATTTAAAAATAGTCCCTACATACTTAGCCTAGGGGTTAATATAAATTCAATAATAATTCTTCTAGAAAATTGAATGTTTTTGTGATAATTCCTGAATACAGTTGGACTATTTTATTGCAGAAATGACTAGGTGACTTTAACTGATATTGATGCTTAATTCTTTTCTTTCCTCTTCAGCCCTGCTAATCTTAGGACAAAAGAGATATTTCCTTTCAAAGACCAGACAGCCGTTGCCCATTTGATTTATGGACAGGATGTTTTTGTTTTATAATAAATACATCCTATTCTTCTAGAGCATTTTTGCTTAATCCTGTGGAGTCTATGAAATTATAATTATATTAAAATTAAAGAATTTAGGCAATTGGAATTTATAGCAATACCTTAGATTGATTACTTATGAATTTATAAAATCTTAAAAAGTATAACAAGAGTTTTTTGAGGACTCTGATCAGCTTATGGAGCCATCCCAAGGTCAGTGGTGGAGCCAGTGTTTTAGCTGGGTCTGTCTTCGTCAAGATGCCATGCTTGGGCCCAGCAGTGGTTAAACTGTGGGTAGAATATGATACCTTCATAGCCCTGTACTCACTCACCTAGACCCTCTCTCTTCACTCTGTCTACCTGTTCATCTGCTTGTATCCCTTACACCTGCAAATATTTATGCTACTCATTGAATATAAATGATAGTCGAACAGGTTCCTTTACCATAAAACTTCAACACTTAAACGTTAACATCGTAAACCTCCAAGAGAGAATCAGTTGCACCGTTACCAGAGTTGTTTGTCCGTATTTTCTCTCCCTTCCCTCAAACCATCTTCCACAGAATTCATCCCTTTCCTCATCTCCTCTCTCAATACCACAGTCCCAACAACACTCAGATGGAACATTTGAGGGGGGTTTCTTTACAGTGGTGTCGAGGCAGCAAAGGCAAACTGTAGGGGCTTGAACAGGAACCCAGAGCTAGTACCAGGGAAGGAGCTATTCCCAGCCCCAGGCCTGTAGGGCACCGGGTCAAAGGAGTGACCAGAAATTGGAAGCACAGTGTCCTTGAGCAGAAAGGTGACCTATAGACAAGGGACACAGCCTGGCCCCAGGTAACTTTCAGGAAGGGATTGAGGGGAATTCGCCCTCCTGCCTCCATTTTCCTGCCCAGCCACACCACTGGCCAAACCCAGGCAGAAACCAGAGAAGAGGGACACTCCTAATGACTTCCATGGAAGTCCACCTCCTAGGGAAGACAGCAGGATGGAGGAGGGTGGAGAGTGGCTTGGAACTAGCAACTGGATGGTACCCAACAAAGTCGTCAGCTTTTCTCTACTCCCTTCTCTCACCCTGCTTCCCTTTCCCTACTCCCTCTCCTTCCACCCTTCCCGTCCTGTCTTTTCCTCTCTTTCTTCCCTCTCCTCCCTTCTCTCTTTCCTTTTTCCCATCTTCTCTCCTCCACTCCCACCTCCTACCTCCCTGTTTCTCTGATTTTTTCTGCCACGTTGAAAAGGTAATATACTACTAATTCATTCCATCCCCCTCCCCACCCAGGTAAAGTTCTGTGAATTTCAAACTTTTAAAACAAAGGAACACTTTTTACCCCCAATGAAAGCATAGCTGAAAAAAAACAAAGAACATGCAAAGAAAAGGGCTTATAGACAACAGAAGTTTTATTTCCGACAGTTCTAGAGGCTGGGACGTTCAAGATCAAGAAGCCAGTAGATTTGGTGTCTGGTAAGGGCCCACTTTCTGGTTCAAAGCAGCGACTTGTCACTGCATCCTCACACAGTGGAAGGGGTAGCTCTCTGGAGCCTCTTTTATAAGGGCACTAATCTCTTTCATTAGGGATCTGCCCTCATGACTTAATGCCTCCCAAAAGCCCTACCTCTTAATACTATCACACTGGGGATGAGGTTTCAACGTATGAATTTTGGGGGGATACAAGCATTCAGGCCACAGCAACCTCCTTCCTGTCTTTACAGTGCCTCTGGGGAATTCCTGGGGACTTGAAAGGAAAGAGCCCTCCCCCCTTGCAAGCAATCAGGCCAGGAGGGAGAAAACAGATCAAGAATCTTGGTGGTTGGGACTTACAGGTGAATTTGGGCCACTTATTTATGGTGAAGTTAAAGATTGAATTCTGTGCAACAAAAGAAAGCAGATTACTTTTCTACTTTGAAAGTTAGAATATCATGAAGGAATCTGTTGCAAACAAACTAGCCCAAATACTTTCACAATAATGAGATTTAATAAAAAGTATACTTTGTACAGAAAAGGAAGAGCATATGTTGTATGGCAAGAGACCTTTACCCCAACAATGAGCAGAGAGAGACAGAGAGAGAGAGAGAGAGAGAGAGGGAGAGGAAAAGAAAAGTCAGTAGGTAGGTGAGTAGAAGGCCTGATGGATGTAGGTGGATGCATGGATGGATAGATGGATGGATAGATGGATGGATAGATGGATGGATAGATGGATGGATGGATGGATGGAAAAGTAGGTAGAAAAATAAATGGGTAGACAGATAGGAAGATAGATATCTCTTCAAATTAATGTTTAAAAACTGTTTTCAGTTTTTTTTGAAAGCCAACAATTAGCTCAGAGCCACGCCTCCTGAAGCATATGAATATATCCTGTTATTTTCATCTTTCTTAATGAATGCTGTAAAATCACAGTCTCTGCCCTCAGCTTGATCTCTCTAGCTTGCACTCAGTTTTTCAAATAGGAGTTTATATTTTCTACTTTGCATACTTTTAAAGAATTCATTGCAGTTTATAATCTCACCAGTCTTCTTTTTTTTATGTGAAATTGGGTGGCATTACAGTTCTGAATAGCTTCCTTATTATTTACATGCAAAGTGAGGTCAGCTGCCTGCTTCATTGCCTGGTCCAACTATTATGTGAAAAAGAATTGCCTGAGTCGTCACTGAGAATAGTCTCTTTGTGTTTCTGACTAACGGAAGTGCCTTTTCTTTTGTTTGTACACAAGCTACTGACAGATTTTGAGATAATGTGAGGTTATTCCTACATTTTCTAAAGAAGGAGAATGTGCAGATCTAGAAATGATGTTGCTGTTTTACAATTTAAAATAAGCCAGTTATTTGCCCTGAAAGACTAGATTGAATCCTGTCTCTTATATCTTAATTTCCCCAGTTTAGAACTAGCATGAAATGAAAGCAAATTGCTTCTTAATTTTGTCAGAGATTGATGGGGTTTCTAAGACTTCAGACTTGTTTAACCGACGTCTAATTGTAAGAAAGAAGCATGTTGTAGCTTATCTGTCCACTTGACCCAGATTTACAGTAAAATAGGTAAATCTTTCAAAGAAATGGTACCTATGTACTTACACATTATGAATAATTACTTCATCAGTTGCTTTGGCCTCTGATTAATGATTGATAGAATGACATCTCAAAGCTGATTTTAAAGGAAATTGTTTTTACTTGCGTCAAAATTTAAGATGTAAATAGTATCTGTCCCTGTCATAATTATTATTCTTAACCAAAGCTGCAGGGTTTTCCCTCCTCTATTCAACTGCTAGGTATAATCCCACCACATCAATATAGGCGTTAATTTACTAATCCTCATAAAACTCATAAAATTTCTCAGTGTGTATGTGCTTATTTCTGAGAAATAATTTTAGTAGACTTTAGTAAAAGAAATGTTAGGGAGAGGCATTTTCATGAGATCTATGAGCTAGGATATGTAGAATAACCTCATTTCCACCCTGCCTCTGAGCACAGGAAACTTGAGGAAGATTCAAGATCTTGTATATTTTACTGCAAATAAGATCATTGTGATGCACAGTAACTGGAGTGAGAGAAATAAATAGGGTGGTCAGAAGGAGCATCACCTCAGATGCCAAGGGAGGGATGGGGTCAGTGATGGCCAGTCAGATAATGTGGCCATTGAACCCAATTGAGGTTACAGCGGCCACGGGGAGGACCCAGTTAATGGCGCCACCATTACGTTGAGTTATGTGGACAGGAAACCCAGGGGTGGCTCTTGGTGCCTCCCTCTCCTTCTTCTTGCACACCCAGTGAGACACTAGGCCTGCAGGAGTGCCTGGAAATCCCTCTCAGGTCAGGCCCCTGCTGTTTACACTCTGACTGCACCAATCTGTAGCACCTTCTACTCACTCAGGTTTTCTTTCATTCACTCCTGAGTCTTGCAATCCGTTCTCCTGAGTTTGGTTTCAAATACAAACCTGGTTAGGCCCCTCCTACTTAAACTCTTTAGTACTTTCCCGTGGTTCTTAACGTAGTTCCCAAAATCTTCATCGTGACTTCCAAAAGACAACTACTTAGTCTGTTCCTCGCTCACCTCTCCGCCTGCCTAAACTCCGGATGCGGTGCCCTCTGCACAGGTTCCCTAAGATTCGATGCTTCTCCCTCCTAAACGCTGTTCTCTTTGTCTGGAAGCCCCCACCCATATCCCAACCTAATCCCTTCTTTTTCCATTCTGTCTCAAACCAAACAGTCTTCCTCAGAGAAGCATTTCCTAAATTGCTTCCTAACTTCATACACCAGGTTAAGATGTCTTTCAACTATTCCACCACATTAGGGTTCTATATTGCTCTCAACAAAATCAACATTAAATAATTGTCCAGTTAACTTTTTAATGGCTCCTTCCATTGCTGCTACGTAAACTCCTTGTTGCAAGAAACCATTTTATTCCCCAGATGTTACCAAAGTGCTATAGAAATTCAAATGTTGCTCAAAGAACAAATGAGCATATAGGCTGAATGAACAATTGTTGAAATAATAGATGGATAGATAAATAGAGATAGATATATCCACCCTATTTTTGAAAAACTAGATATGTGTGTTTAATACATACCCACAAACATATATGATTCATGCTATGTAGGTATCAATGTTGGAACCTTAAAGCAGAAAGAGATGTGTTTTTCCTCTTTGTTGTACCTGTAATACTCTCTCTTCTAGAACCATGGTTATTCTAGACTTCACTTTTTTTATATCATATTCGTGGCTCAAAGAGCCATTTCTCCTCAGTAGCACCCACCAGAACTCCATCTTACCTGGTCACACTCAACTTTATCTTTTAAGACGTCACTTGGTTGTTACCTCTTCTTGCTCTCCCTCCCCCTTTCCAGGTGTTTATTGCCCCTGTATTATATTCCCATAATACTTCATACACATTTATATTATTACAATTGCATTGTTGAATTCATATTATCTGCCTGTATGTACCCTACCCCAAACCCAACTGATAGAATGTAGCTTCACGAGGGCAAGAGCTATGTAAGATTCAACTTTATTTCCTCAAGAAAAAATAAGTGTTGAAATAATTATTGAAAGAATGAAAAATTGTTGCTGTGATTTATTCATTTTTAAGGTGAAGAGAGGGCCTGTAGTCCCAGCGACTCAGGAGCCTGAGGCAGGAGGCTGGCTTGAGGTCAGGAGGTGGTATCTGCAGTAGGCTATGATTGCACCTGTGAATAGCCACTGCATTCTAGCCTGGGCAACATAGCAAGATCCCATCTCTAAAAATAATTATAAAAAATTAAAAAGTAAAAATTTTTGAGAAAGATGAAGTAAGGGTCAGAAAGAATAATTAGTTACAGCAATTTTCTTTTACATTACATACATACTTTTTATATTTTTATTATAAACATTTTTATAATTTATTTGTACTTCAGTTTTTTTTTTTCTTACAACTTTTTTTGTTGTTGAACATTAAGTTTCAGAGTTCCTTTGGAGGATTAAATAAGTTTATTCTTCATTAGAAAACTATGAAGTTTGAAGTTTGAACTATGAAGAAAGCAATTATGAACTATTTTCAATGCTAAAATATAATTACTATTTTTAAGAGAATACACTAGTGATTTTCATATTTGACTCACTGATTTATAAAACTGCACTGTCTGTTATTGACGCATATATAGGCAGCTGAATTTCTCATCATTATCTTTTATGTTGAGAAAAGTTACATTTTGATTCATCGGTAATCTACATTCTCAACTTTTTCATTACTATACATAAAGAAAAGGTTTAAATCTTTATGTAAGGGAATGACATAGGCCTTCTTTTCCACCTTATCATTTCCCACTCTAACATTATAATAATATCGAAGACTTGCATAACTACACAGAAATAAAAAAAATGAATTACAATATGAAAATTACAGGGCTATTATTTCTTTTTTCTCTGCTTCATAACTATTTTGATTGGGATGCTAAGTTCTGATTGGCAGATTAGTAGGGCATTCCCTCCTCCCCTGGGTGTGGCAATTGCTCAGGCCCCCGCATTTGTCCCCAGGAGGACCAGAGGTCCCTCACTGTCTACCTAACACAATTGTTCTACTTTATTTGTTTCTTCAACATTCATTCCTGCCACAAACATTGAGCACCTTTCAGTAGATGGCAATAACCTACCTATTTGACTGAGAATGTTAGTTGTGTCCTTATAGCTTTCTGATACCCATTACAGAGACAGAAAGAGAAGATCTTTCTGTTTGTGATCCATGTTCTATGTTAACTGCCTTTAAAAAAGAAAAGAAAACTATGTCTTAAATAATGACACTGTTATATATTTAAATAGTAATATGACAGATTAAAGTTTGGATAGATACATATCAAACCCTTAGCAATATCTGAAAAGTAGGAATATACAGAGGTGAAAGAAGAGACATTCATTATTTTTACATTGCACTCTTCTATTTACTTTTTCTTGTTTCGCATGACTTTCTTACAAATTAATATATATTCCTATCTTATTACCCAGGGATATCAGATTCGCTCAAGTGATCATTGCGTGTTAGTCTTTATCTCTTTTAACATCTTTGGAGTGTTGAAAACTTCATGTATTCTTGTAGCATATACTTCAAAAATCAACATGTAGTTTCAGAAAAGAAAAACACTAGAAACTAAGCAACAGTTTACTATCCAATGTATTGGGAGCAGACTTTCTTATTACATGGTTAGTAGGCAGATGAAAATCACTTTGTAAAGCAGGGAATTTATTAGGGGTAGAATCCTCAAAGAGCTTTGCAGCTGATAAATATTCATTGTGAAGTGCTAAACTAGACACAAAGGAAAATTTGTACCTGCCTCCAAGAACTTAGAATATGGTCGGGGATTCACCACACACGCTCATCAAACTCCAATTTAGAATCTCACAGAGAAAATATTAATAATATGGCAAACTCGAGACTGAACCACCCAAACAGATAATTAAGGTGAGAATAATTTTTAGAAGTAAGATTCGTCTTAGGAGGAGCTTCCTGAAAGCATGAATTTAAACTCAGGTTTTGAAGAAAAAGATGAATGAACAGGAAAAATGGGGGAACATATTCCAGGTGAAGATGGAGTTTAATTTTAAACTATTTCTTGCCTTAATGATTAAAACTTGACATGCAAAAACAATTGTTATTAATAAAAGAGACCAATGAAAGTATTTATGTAAGATCTCTTTCCTTTGTATTCCGTTTCAAAATTGTAGTTGAAATCTGGAGAGACGGCTGCCAACATTGCTAGAGAGCTGGCCGAACAGACAAGAAATCATTTGAATGCCGGGGACATCACCTACTCTGTCCGGGCCATGGATCAGCTGGTCGGCCTCCTCGATGTCCAGCTGCGAAACCTGACCCCAGGTGGAAAAGACAGCGCCGCCCGCAGTCTGAACAAGGTAAGCACCTCAGTGACACGTATCTTTCAAGTTGTAAAATCTGTAAGACTTCCCTGCTCAATTTCCTTCCTTCTCTAGAATTCAGTCATTCTAAAGAGAATCATTAGTTATATTCAATTCACTTCAGTATTTCATTATATTAATTGAACTGTTTGGTTCTTAATCTAAAGAAACAATAAATGATAATCTCTCCATGTTTATTTCGAATTTACAATTCTGTTTTCCGTAGTAGTTCCTCTGTTTTGTATGCTAAATTCTGACAAGGTTAATGTGGATAAATGCAGTTTATTCTGTTTCTTTTTTTTTTTCTTTCAAATCTTTATATTAAAATAACTGACAATAAAAAAAATATATAATCAATAGGCAGAAATTTTAAAAATAGCAAGAAGGTATTAATAATCCATTATAGATGTTTTTAAAATGAGATAATTTAACTTAATAATACTTTTTAAAAACTCATGAGGCAAACAATTAAGTTTTAATTTTTACTTCCTTTAGATGTTGAAATCACTCAGATTTTACATCACTACCACTAAAATTTCAAAAGGTTGAACGTATTTCTGCAAATTTGAATTGTGAATAAAGAAAATAATTCATTTTCTTTTAAATTTCAAGGAAAATACATTTTATGAATTTTTATTTATATTTCTATAAATAAAATGAGCATTTATATAAACATGTAAAATACATTTTACATCTGCATAAGGAATATCTTTTTTTACGTAACAAAATATTACCTGCTTAGTTAATCCCATGGTAGAAACATGTTAGCATTGCCACCATCAAATGACATGTGTTCCTTGAATGGCCTTAGTGTAGTAGATTGAATAATTCAATGATTGAAATCGGATTTTAGGGCCTTGAATATCATGATAGTCTTACTAGTTAAAAAAAACAAGAATTCAACAGCGACAGACTAATGTTTCTCTATGGAATTCACTAAAAGAACATTCCCTTTTCGAATTAAAAAATGACTTTGCAGAGTGGCCTTTTAATATGTTTAGTTTTTCTGTGTCTTCCTGGGTAAGAATTTCACTCATCAAAATGAAAGAAATTTTTAAAATAATGATTGTTCAACATAGAAAAAAATCAGATATTTTGTCTGGCACATACAGTTTTTTCTGTAATTTCATCTTCCGAAAACAGGTACAGTTTTATCTATTAGACAGAAATCATTAAAGTTTTTTTTCATGCTGAGCATAAAGGAGTTATTTTTGTCACTTATGGCCCTGATAGAATCACCACCAATCCCCTGATAGAATATAATCCGCAGCTGCCTATATAATCTAGGCATGCTGTGATTTCAATGTGTTATTCCCCAGGCTGACTGGATGCTATTAATAAACATTGCTGCCAGCTATCTTTATCATAATGTGCTGAAGGTAGTAATTTCTATTAATGTTACATATCCATATCATGACTTGTTATAGCAATACTTTGTATCTCTATTTAAAAATGGTGTTGATGTCTGACAGTATCAGGTAAAGCTGGCAATTAATGTCACATTCTAACTGGCTACAGCTAATCAGCTTGCCTACTCTGAATATCAAATAACTACATAATGGGCAAATTTCCATTTGTGAAGCTTTTTAATGCTCTCTTCTGTTTCCCATTTGGCTCTTTTCAATTGTTTATATAATGTGGTTTGTCATATGTTAATTTGCATGATGGGGTAAGGAGATGGGAGGGCAAAGGTTATTCACATGCTTGCTGGCTTGCTCTCATTTCCTGGGGTCCCCACTTTCCCTGAAGCAGTTAGAACCCATCAGATCTGCAAAGTCAACTCAGTACAAATCAATTGCGCCCCACATTGAAATTCTGCAGGGTTTAGAGTCCTGCAAACCAGGATTCGAGTCAGTGATCCAAATGACAGCCCTGGCAATTTACTCGCGCTCATTCTTCACTTCATTCTTTAGAGAAGTAACTGCCCTGTGCTCATTGAAGAATGCATGAATTAGAGTTGCGAGAGTATTAGCCACACAGAACGCATCAGAGTAACTGCTTCTTAAAACTGGGTAATTTTCTCCTTCAACAATCAAGGCTACTGAAGGAAAAAAGAAAAAAAAGAACAATAGGGAAGAGGAGAAAAACCCACGATCTAATTTATAAAATTTTGGCCCATCTATTTAAACAGGGTAAATAAGCTGTTATTAATTATTCATTTTACAACCAGGAAAAAACGTTTAGGACTGCATAGGAGTTGCTGTTAACCTTTTGCCCCTCAAAACATCACTGTGTGCAAACAAACAAAAATAGGCTTCTTATCCCACCAAAGTTTCTAAAATGTATAATTTGTTTTTTGGTTGAAACTGTCAAAAGAAATTCTTCAAGAAATAAAAGCAGTGATAAATCAGGAGATTAATCACATTCTTTTAATCAGAAGTTATTTTTCTTTTGGTATTTGTCCCTTAGAATCAAATAGTCATAATGAATGGGCATGTCTATTTTCCTGAGAAACAGAAATTTTTGTATGTATGAACATATGTTTTGTGGTCCACATGAACCATCTATGTTATCCGTAAACCACAAACAATATATCTTCAAGAAATGGGTTCCAAACTTTTGACATAATTTCCTTAACTTCGTATGTCTTCATTCCTTGCCTATGAATTAACAACTAACCTGGTACGAAATGGATTGTTTAAAATGGATGAAGTACATTGATTTTGACTAATTTCTACTAAATGTATTCGAAGTTTTCTTGCCATCATTAACAGCCTTATACCATTCAGTTTTCACTTTGCTTGTTCCGAAAGGGTGCTGGCTACTATTTTCCAAGCCACTGCTTACATTTTGCTGCTGCTTAGCTTTCATTTTCTCCTAGAAAGTAGTAAACGACAAAATAAGGTGTTTTGTGTAGATGTGTTCTTTTATTTTTCTTGTTTTCTTCTGTCACTAACTTGTTTTTTCTATTCTGTGTTTAATCTGCTGTCTTAATGGATTCAGCTTCAGAAAAGAGAGCGCTCTTGCAGAGCCTATGTCCAGGTACTTTCCGCGTTTTTATCAATGTGTTAAGTCGTTGAATGTCTCTGTTGTAATGGCATGTATGGACATCGGATAGAAAAATGATAATGTACCCTATTGACCTAAAGGGATTTCAGGGAGGGCGTGAAGGGTGGGTATGGAAAGACATGAAAAGAATATATGCTAAACAGAAATTTGGCAGTGCTAATGCTCTGTCAAACATGAGAAACACAGACTAAGAAGGAGGTGCAGCTTCAGGTGTGAACATTTTGATCATCACTAAAGAGGTGAGTTGGGTGTAATATATTAAATCCCTAGTTTCTTCATAGAGGTGGGTATGAAAACATTTTATTTGTACATTGGGTCAGCCAGTATTTGAGTAGAAGTCATTTGGAAATGAAACTCAATCAATGTCTTATAAGACAACAAATAATCCAGGGTACATGGAATGTCATTCTTCTTTTCCAAAATGGAACTGTTTATTGGCTCAAGGCATATTTGTGACTTATCTAAGTCTCTCACTTATTGCAAAAATTTTAATCCCAATGTGAATATAATTTTTATCCAGCTAACATGTTCTAATTTGTTTCTAAGCAATAAACCATTCCTGTGAATTTTATATTAAAGAGAGCAATCTCAGAAGTATGCTCCCTGGTTTATTTTTACAAAAAGGGAGAGAAGGAAGAAAGGATGGAAAGAAGGGAGGGAGGAAAAAAATATGAAACTGTGTGACTGTAAACTTTATCCTCTACGTATATATATCACAGCATTCTTAAAGAGCAAGCCCATCTACATTTATAAAAAGATGCCCTCAAGAATTAAGTTAATGTTTATGAGATTGGCAGACCAAAAACTAAACCTTATCAGTTAATTCACAGTTGAACATAATATTGGGCATTGACTTTTTTTAACCAAAACTCTTAAGAGGTAAGGTTAATGGAAATGCTAAATATTGATTTGTTCATTTATACTTTTTCAATGATCTGAATATTCACACCAACTATCCTTCTCGGTAGTATAGAACTAGGCCTTGGATTTATAATTAGGAAATAACTTAGCATAAAATCATAGCAAAAGGAACTAGATGGCCTTAGGGGAAAGATGGTCAAATTATGAAAAGTGCAATACAGTAAACGTTTTAATGAATGGAGATATCTCTGTGTGCTAGCTATAGCCATTTGCTTAATTCTGGCTGACAAGTTATTTTTCTTTCAGTTGTCCGAATTTTAAACGCCATACATAAATTCTTTTATTTCCTCAGCAAATACTAGTGAGCAAAACAAGTACAGTACAGTCTCTGCCCTAGGATTTTACCATCTAGTAGAAAATATTGATTAATAAATGTTAGTATATTAGCATGTCAGATGAATTAAAATAATGTTGAGTAGATTCGCCTTTCTTTAGTTATACTCTCATTCTGGGAATGTGTTCTGATCATTTTGATTGGATTTGGTGTTTTCCACGTCTCCTCAGCTATATGAAAACACATTGCAAGTGGTCTCTGTAAGACAGTTAAATTTGTAAATGGCCAAACTTCTCTAGCAGATGTTGATTCTATCGGGTAGGAAAGATTTATTTTCCACACCTATTGCTAGGTTCATGGCTGAGGCCCCTATAACAAAAGACAGATTAACAAGAGAGAAACATACGAGTTTATTTAACATGAGTTTTATATAACATGGGAGCTTTTGGAAATGAAAACCCAAAGATAGGGAAACCTGTGTATTTGTATGCTTAGGTTTGATGATGAGTGGACAATCATGGGGTAGTTTGATTGGACAAGAAGGGGATGATATAATGGTAAATAAATTGGAGAGAAGTTAGCAAGGCTGTTTGTTCAAATTTTCTTGGCATTTCTGTGTCTTTGGCTCCTTTCCTCTTGGTATAGAGAGGACACCTCTCCAAGGAGGATATTATGACCTTCTTCAGGGGAATGTTAGAAAATTCTTGCTCAGTTTTGTGACCTGCTTCAGGGCAGAAGGACTCAGGGACAGTGGGGAGGGGAGTAACCTAACTAAACTACTTCTGCTGTTTTCTCAAATACCAAAATACCATATTTTGGAGTAACATGTCCTGAACCTAACAGATTCTTGCTTGCTTTTACTCTCAGAATTCCTTTGCAGAATCAGCAATTATTAGCTTATTAAATATGAAATGTCTAATTTCCATAAATAAATAAGTTTGACAGTTGGTATCTCTGACGTTTCATTTTGACACTTCTCATTTTATTTTTATTGTGAAGGTACATCCTCAGTCTTTCAGTTGCACATTTTGGCTTGTGATTATCTTTCAAACTTTTTTTTAGAGCAATTTTTGTGAAACCATGGATAAGTCAAGAATTCGTGTTGTTTTTGAATATGAGTTCCATTGTGGAACCAATGCAGTGCAGACAGTTTGAAATATCAACAAAGTGTTTGGGAAGGATGCAGCTAATGAATGCACAGTACATCGATGGTTTGAGAAGTTCCATTCTGGTGATTTTAATCTGAGACAGAGGTGGATAATGATGAGCTGAAAGCTGTAGTGGAAGCTTTCAGCTCCACTACCCATCTCAACTTACGCGTGAATTAGCAGCAAGGTTTGACGTTACTATCCCAACAATATTGGACTATTTGAAACAAACGGGCAAGGTTAAGAAGCTAGAAGTATGAATATTGCATGAATTAAAGGAGCATCAGAAGAGAAATTGTCTCGAAGCTTTCCTTTCTTTGCTATCATGACATAAAGGCGAAACATTCCTATACTATATTGTTACTTGTGATGAAAAATGGATTCTTTTTGACGATCGCAAGCTTTCAACATAATGGTGGGATAAAGATGAAGTGCTGAAACACAGTGCAAAACCAAATATTCATCTGAAAAAGCTAATGGTGTCTGTCTGGTGATCCAGTGCTGGTATTATCCAGTACAGCCCCATGAAACCTAGTCAATCGATTACAGTGGATGTCTACTGCAAGCAATCAGGTAAAATGATGAGGATGCTTGTAATTAAGCAGCTGAGATTGGTCAATAGAGACAGGCCAGTCCTCTTGCAAGACCACATGTTGCAAAAAACAATGCTGCTCAAACTACAGAAGCTGGACTTGGAAACTCTCTGTCATCCACCATATTCACCAGACCTTGCTCCCACTGACTACCACTTCTTCCAGACTGCAGACCACTTCTTACAAGGAAAAACATTCAGTTCTCAATAAGCTGTGGAAAACACCTTTTGTTATTTCATTGCCACTTGCTCTCCAGGCTTCTTCGCTGCTGGCACAAGCAAGCTACCATTAAGTTGGCAAAACAGTGTCATTAGTTTAGGCAAATACTTTGATTACTTGTACTGCTTCTTGTCTGAGATATAATAAACTAAACTTTTGATTCAAAACCAGACATTTCATATTTAATGACCTAATTTTTTAAAAAAAAAGAAGAATGAAAAAGTTGTTTTTGTTGTACATTTCGTTCTGAATTTGAAGCCATTAGGATAAGGATAATAAGGACATTTTGGGAGACAGTATTTTAAAAGGAAAAAATTGAACATTGAACAGCGATTAGGAAGATAAGCTTTTAGTTTGCATTTTACTGTATAAAATAATGAATCTTTGTGCATAAGAAACTTCAGGTTTATTTTTATAAGGTTTTGGGAAAGAAATTTCTTTGGAAGGTATATATAACTATATAGGTATATATATGTGTATATAGGTATAGGTATATACGGGTTAGGTATACATATACTCTATGTGCAATAGATAGAGAAATTAAAGTATTTTTTAGCATTGGAAGCTGAAGATCATTTTTGAGCTGAGCAATATTAGGATTGTTTTTGATCACAATCTATGTTATCCTTTTAATGGTGCCTTTGGGATAATTAGCCTTTCGGTATTTAAACCTATGAAATGCATGGTCATTCGAACATGAATCTCTGATGGAAAATTAATAGCACAGTTTATTCAGTGGCTGATTTCCTGGTGTTATAATTGACTAACTGTGAATAAATGTTTCAGCTATTGACTAAACATCTGATAAGACCAAATACAAACAGAATATTGGTGGAGCAGAAATGCTTTGCTCGCCAATACACAGTACTACTTCTGTTTGTCTTAATGTAGATCATTATTCCATGAAATTCCAGAGTGAATAATACTTTATTCTTTGTCTATTTGAATTTTAAAGACTTGTTTTATGTACCCGATTGTTTCTATGCTCGAAGCACATTCACAGATATCTATGAAATAGGTGTGAAATACACTTGAAGTGCTTTATGCATTAAATTTGAAATAAAATGATTATTTAGTCATCATGAGTTTCTTTAAAAATAATGGATTTTACATAGGCTCAAGCAATGATTATTCTAGGGTTGATTTTCACCCTTTAAATCCATTTAGCTTTCAATTATTTAGAGGTTCAGTGTCTATTTTATAAATTACCTAGATCCATCTTTTATATCCTCCTGTTTCCAACCTTTTATTTATTTCACACACAAATAAAAGCACAGTGGAATTTAAACTGTCAGCTGTCAACTATGGTAACTAATCTGTAGATCAACAATTAAAAGGAGATTGGTATGATTTTTTAAATATGTGAATCTTCCTAAAAGTACTTATACTTGCATCCCAGGAGTTTTAACTACTAATAGAACAGCCACATTGAGTCCAGTATATTTTATTTTTCTTTATTTAGCTGTAATTTTAGATTACACTGCAATCCTTGTTGACTATCAAAAGATAGAAATTGATATGTATAATAGTAAAACATATAATTTCCATTTCATAGGCATAACGTTGTGGGGAAACTTCCCCTTTGCCCAGGAAGGTTTACTGAAAGATCAACTCACAATAAGGCAGATTAATAAGAGAAAGAGATTTATTTATCATGTGCGAGGGGAGAATCACAGAGTGATTACCCAATTTCCCAATGGGATCTAGAAGTTTATATACCCTCATTTTAGAGGAGAGGGGGAATTGAGGAATATAGATAATTCTGTTGAGTGGCAATAAATGGTTGCTAGGGAGGATGAGTAGATACTTGGGAGAATG